TATATATATATATATATATATATATATATATATATATATACATATATATATATATATATATATATATACACAAACATAAATAAGAACATAAACCTAAACAAAAGTACAAACAAAACCCCAACAATAAAACCAAGAAAAAAAGCAAAAACAAAAAAGAAAAAAAGAAAAAACAAAAGCAACAAAAAGAAAAAAGAAAAAAGTAAATACCTTTCTAAGCCCTCTCGGCTCCGCCACCTTCAGACAAAATAACTTATTATGTTTTTCTTCATTTGTAATAAAAAACCTTTTATTTTTATCACCCCACAAAAAAAATAAATTTAATGCTTGTCTTTGTCTTGACGCACAAAATAATAAATTCGCTAACACCACTCGCCGGCTACGGGCATCCACTGCTCTTCTGCATGCATACACATATATTTATTTATTTTATTTTTATTTTTTTTGTTTTTTATTTTGTTTATTGTTTTGTTTGTGTTTATGGTTTTTGCTTTTTTGTTTTTTTGGTTGGCTTTTTGCGGTTATTTGCTTTGTTATATTTCTTTGTTTTTAGTTGTTTACTTATATATATATATATATATATATATATATAATATAAATATAAATAAAAATAAATATAAACAAATATAAACATAAACAACTATAAACATAAACAAGTATAAACATAAACAAACATACACACAAACAAACATAAACATAAACAACTATAAACATAAACAACATAAATACAAAACTACAAATATAAACAAACATAAACAACTATAAACATAAACAAACATAAACATAAACAACCATAAACATAAACAATATAAACAAACATAAACATAAACAAATAAAAATATAAACAATATAAATACACAACTAAAAGTATAAACAAATATAAACATAAACAAATATAAACAAATAAAAATATAAACAAATAAAAATATAAACACTTACAAATGAAGAAACTCGGTTTTATATATTTTATTAGGATAATCCAAATAAACTATTTTTTTTTCTTCGGCAGAAATAAATAAATTTGCAGCAACAGGCCGCAAAGGCTCACACATAAAACCCTCGGCAAACGAA